CATCAAGACAAACTTTTCAACTGCTGTTGTAAGAACTGAGCAGAGGTTTAGATTGGTAGATATAACAGGCATTGTATTGTTCTTGTTATTATTATTCTTGAATAATTTCATTGGGAAATTAAATCTTACATGCTAAAATATTATTTCTACAATTAAAATTGTAATTCTAGGATTTTATAATTTGCTTTTTTATGTAATTTTTTTGTAATTGAAACATTTTCTCATAAAAGGCAATTTTTTTCTTGATCAAAGGTGAAAAGCATCTTTGCCATTAGCGATTTACCACTTTATGAATAGGTCTATTTACTGTGCCACACACTTAGCCTGACGTAGTGCTGTTACTGATCAGTTTTATAAGTCTGGCCCTTTATGTTTTATTTTTTATGTTAATATAAAATAAACAATAGTTGTACATAAAGGAATGTGTCATTAAATTGTCTCATATGTGTGTATATCAGATGTTTTACTTTGGCTTTGGATGTAGCTCAGATTTCAGAACCGGGATGGTCAGTTTCATTGTTGATATTTTGACGGGTCGCGAACGTTGACTTCAGCCTAGTCAACTAATGATTAATCAGTGCCCTTTGGCAGTCCGTTACCAGTCAAAAGAATCTGCCAGTGCATCGCTAATCTGTCCTAATGAGGGATTTTGTATGTTCATGTTGTCTGTTTATGTGTTTATGTCACTCTAGAGTGGAGAGGAAGCAGCTGAAGTGTGTATCTGTTTTGGTACTTGAGGTCACTGCTTTGTGCTGGAGGTCACTGCTGCTCTCAATGGTGCTTGGGAAACCTCAGAGATAGTTAGTCATACAGAAGGGGATTTCTTCCAGCAGCGAGGTCCCGTTTGTTTGTGTGTGTGTGTGTGTGTGTGTGTGTGTGTGTGTGTGTGTGTGTGAGTGTGTGTGTGTGGTCAGGGCATGGATTTGTGCCATTGAGGAGCAGCCAGGCAACCCCCAGCAGGAGTCCAACAGGGGCACAGTGCCCAGACACTTAACCAGTGATTAGACTTTCATTCACTCTCTCTCTCTCTCTCTGTCTCACTCTCTCTCTCTCACTCTCTCTTCTTCTGCACGACAATAGCACCGCACTCTAACCTTCATCATTTTCTCTACTTCATCTGAGTACTTCATTTGCTAATTGAGGGATGCTGAAGGATGTCCTATGTGAAATATTTACAGGGATGTTTTAAGTCTGTTTTACGACTGCTGGATTAAACAGATTAGTCTGTTACTTGCGTTGTCTGAGGCTGGGCGTACACTACACGACTTTTAAAATCTTAACAGATTTCTAAAACAGACAGCATCACAAAGTTAGCCTCAGTTTGTCACAGAATTTCTTGTCTTTTTGTCGAAGAGAGGGTGTAACACACATAACGAGATTGGGCTACGAATAAGAACTCAAAATCCCAGATCTCCTCAGAAATCACGACACAAACAAAGCTAAACTGACTGGACCTGACCTGTTCGTGCTTTAATGCACAGCGAAAGCGCAAACTCGGGGTTAAAATGGGGCTGAGAAAAGCTGATATTACAGTGACAGCTGGAGAAATGCTTCACTACAAACTGGCAGCTGAGCTGAAATTGTAAAGAGAGTGATCTGACAACTGAATCCAACATTATAAACATGATGTCGGTGTTTTACACTCAGCTGCTCTGTCTCCGCACTCCGCTGTTTAGGCGGCGTGTCTGCTCGTCTCTTCACCTGTTTCTCCGCTCTTCTAGCTCTCTGATTGGCTGTTGTTTGAATCACTCGTTGAGTAAATCTCTGACCTTCTCACACTACAGGACTCGTGAACATTTTAAGTCGTAAATGAGCTCCCGACCTGGAAAATCATTTCAGATTGTTAAAATTTTTCGCAAGGGCCATATCGGGGTTAAAAATCTTCCTGTTCCACCTTAAATGGAGCAGTAGCTCTGGGTTTCTTTGGTCGCTTGCCGTTTTTTCTTTTTTCCTCAAAACTCTGTTTGGAGTGTGCCTCTGAAAAAACCTCTGTTTGGAGGGCCATGTAACCCTAACACTTCACCCTACGCCTCTATTTTAACCAAAAGCAGGACACCACAAAACAGAGGGCTAAGGGCTAAGTGGTAAGGGCAAAGGGTGAAATGGGATTGGGCCTAAATGTTTTGTGGTGTGTTGTGAGTAAGTCTGGGTACCATTCTACATTTCAGACTTCAGTATGATACTCTCTTTGATACCTTATTCGAAATTACAAACTGTTGGTGGGTATATTTACAGACCACTCTCAAACAGTGGGAGGGGGGCTGTTGGCATTAGTGCCTTTGCATTGTGCAGTACTTTGTCTCCATTGTTCATTCAGTCTTAGCCACATTAGCATTTGCGTTTTCTCTGAAACTTAGTGGTACTTTAGAAGTCTGTCTCCTTTTAATTAACAATTTCTTCTTTTTTTGTGCGTCAGTGACCTCACAATCCCAGACCTTATTAGTTAATAAATTTCTACTCAAGCAAACCCCTGCAGTCACCGTGTAATTGAATCTGAAGATGACATTTTCTTCTAGCATTATACTGTAATAATTGTTTTTTGGTGTGCGAACGTTGGGTCTCGTGTTGCAGCGGAAAGGGATGCGTGGGTGTGAGAAATAAAGGGAGGAGGTGCCGAGATCATGGTTTTAACTTGTGGCCTCCAGCACGTGTGTGTGTGTGTGTGTGTGTGTACATACGTATGGGTGCAGATTTACGAGCGCAGGCCTTGATTAAATCCGTGACCTTCACCGCTTCGCACGCACAATCAAGGCGAGGGTAAATTCATCATGGCATTGATCCATCAATTGAATTGCGTTTCCGACACCACCGATGGCTTGACCTCGCCGGCCGGCCGGGATCGTCCAATTTGCTCGCCGTGCAGATTGCGTGCCGCGCTTGCACCTTAACTGCTCTGTGAATTTACGGCCCTACCCCTGAGACACCCCTCCCACTGTCCCACCAGCCTTATCCCTCTTGTTGTGTCAAGCGGCTTGGCAATCAAATAAATTTGCCCTCCTGTTTCATTAGCATTCCTCCACGCCCCTGCATTTGCATACACTGCCCGTCAAAGGTTTGGGGACAAAACGAGGAACAAATGAACACGCTTTTCTTACTGCTTTGCAATAATTTAATATGGTAAAGACTAAGCAGGGGCCTGCAAACAGGTTAAGTTTATAGAATTGAATAATAAGCGTCTGACCACTCAGGGACAGCCATTAGTGAGGTCAGGTACTGAGGTATTGGATCTACCTCCATCACTCCATATAACACAGTTCCACTGCTCCTCAGCCCAAAGCTGGGGGTCTTTATACCCCTCTTGCCGACAGTTGGCATTGGACATGGTTAATGTGTGGCTGCTTCCAGAGCATCCCGTTCTATTGGCAGTGCTTTTCTACGGAGGTTATACAAGCATGGTGCACACAGTTGAACACCTGTATCAGCAATGGGTGCACCTTAAAGAAGCTGAATTCACGAATTAGAAGGGGTGTCTGAATACTGTTAGACATCATAGGCCAACCTAGGTCAGTGTGGTGGTCACCATTCATCAGCACTCAGATCTTTCGCGTGTTTTAACCATCTTTGGGCCAGTAACAGTAGTTTGTAACATAAAGCTGTCAAGTATTATTTATGGAAAACGTGCTCTTCATACTAAAGGAGAGACTTTGATGAACATGAAGCTGAGTTGCAAAATATACCCAGAGCATTAGCAAATACTTTTATGCTAGCGCTGTTTCGCAAATGCTCGCTGCTTCCTTTTAAATGTTTGGTCAACGAGTTCCCGTTTTGCAAGTGAGGGTGGAAAAAAGAGGAAATTTGCTCTTGTGTAGTTGAACAAGGCTCCTTGGAGAGTTGGTGAAACTGGGTCATCCAACAGGGCTCTGGGCGAAGGAGACTGGGGGTGGGAGGAGAGGAATAAAACAGAAAAAAGTGAGGATCTTAGGGTGCTATGACGGTTTTGGATATGCTCTCTGCTCCTTTTCCATTAAAAGTGCTTGTAGAGTAAAAAAAAGGCAGCTGTGCAGAGTTTTGTAAACATGCTGGGGGTGTGTATCTTGAAAGAGGAAAATGGCGGCACGCAAATCGAAGATCCGGGGACATTCTGGTCCATGGAGTCCTTGAGGGACCCTCTGCTTCAGGAAGCTATTAGTAACTCTTGTACTCGGAGTCGTTTTTCTCCTTTTGCTTATTTAAGTACAAGTTGCCTGACCTATATTCCTTCTGAAGATAGGGTGTTGTAATATCTCTGAAGAAGAAAAAGAGGCACACATTTCAGTCCAAGAAAAGACAGTAAGGTGAAAGGTAGACAGTAGGGCTTGACCGATATTTTGTCGCCGATAACGATAACGGTTTCACTTTAAGAAATTATATCTTAGCAAGTGAAAAAATCTTAAATCTCGTCAATATATCTAATATTTCTCATTGTGAGAATGTTGTAAGAATAATTTAAGATTATTTAACTTATTTCTAGACATTGTTTACTTGTTTTGAGGCATTTTATCTTAAAGTGTCTTATTCCATTGGCTGATCATTTTACTGGTTGCAAGCATGATTTCTTTAAATAAGCAAAATTATCTGCATGGTTTCTCAAACTAAAAGTAAAATGATCTGCCAATGGAATAAGACACTTTTACTAGATAAGATTACTTGAAACAAGTAAAAAATGTCCAAAAACATCAGTTGATGTAATTTTATATTTAAAAAAATGAAACAGACTTCAGCAGTTTTAGTTGAACTTTTCTTTACAGAAAATTATACAAAACAACAGCATAAAACTTCTTCCATATCTTCTTGTATTGTTATTGTTATGATGTTATGAGTTGGCAGCCGACATGCTTGGAAATTGCTGTTCAAAACAGCATCAAAATGTGTTTTTCTTATATAACAGTTAAAGAAATGAAGCCAGTAAATATATGGAACCTTAATATCAGCTGATTTTACTGGTCAAACTCCCATACAGAGACTTTAAGAGTGTGAGGGTAGAAGCTGGTGCTCATGTTTCTTTCTTCTGTGCTTTGCAGCTTGCAGACCGGGCACCTACAAGGCTTCGTCCATGGACGGCTACTGCAGCAAGTGTCCACCTCACAGCTACTCTCACCAGGAGAAAGCATCTGAGTGCCCGTGTGAGAAGGGCTACTACCGCGCTGACATGGACCCCCGATCCATGGCCTGCACCAGTGAGTCGAACAGCAATGAATGAATGCAGGGGAAAGTGGAAAGAGTGGAAAGATTAGAGCAAGATAAACAACTTTCACACATTCAGTTGGTAGACTTGCACACAGAACAAGTGCTGCATGGATGGAAGGATACATTAAAAGATGAATGGATGGATGGATGGATGGATGGATGGATGGATGGATGGATGGATGGATTAAAGATTAAATGAATAAATCCAATAAAAAGGTGGAAAGATGAGTTTTGTTTATAGAGTTAGAGCAAAATAAACAACTATAACAATAAGCAAACATACAGTATGTGGAGGGTAGGGTGTTGGGGATGAATTGGTGGAGGGATACACTGATGGATGGATGAATAAAAGGATATATTTTAAAATCAGTCCAATTCACTTGGAGATATTAGGATCTCATTCCCACACGTTCATAAGGTGTGGCCACGCATTATTTTTATTTATATGGGATGTCACCAGCGGGGTTCCGTACATGGCAAAACAAAGTGGACAAAATTGTCCCTGCAAAAATTACGAGGGTTGGTTGAATTTGTATTAATTATTTAAGGGACTGAATATACAATCACCGAAACGTTCATGTTAACAGGATGTGTGCTAAACATACACGACATTTAAAATAGGTCCAGTATAGGTCAGAGGGATTCGACTGTAGTACATGCAAATACAGTAGATAATAAAGTGCTGAATGAATGATTGAATGAATTAATGTCATTATATGAATTTGATTTTGACCAAGTGGGAAACTGAATTTTGTTTATGTAAGTAGAGCAAGACAAAGACCTTCCAGCATACATTCAGTAGGCAGACATATATGTAGGAGATGCTGGGCATGGATGGATGGATTGAAAGATTGATGGATGGATAGAGAGACAGATGGATAAAAGATTGAATGAATGGATGGAAGGAAAGGTGTCAAGTGGAAAGATATATTTTTTTATTGAATCAGTGCAAGATAAACAATTCCCAGCTCACATACAGTAGGCAGACATTTAGGGCAGGACAGGGAGGGATGGATAGATTGAAAGATGATGGATGGATGGATAGATGGTCAGGGGGTTTCTCTGATTTATTGTGGGGGTTATTACTAAGTGAGTATGGTGTATTTCCACTTACATCATTGCCTCATAATGTCAGTCTGCCTAGTCGAACATTTCTCAGAACATTTACAAGGGTGGTGAGGTCACTCTATTGACATAGGAAGAGTGAATAGGCTAGGTGTGGGTGTGTGGGTGTGTGTGTGTGTGTGTGTGTGTGTGTGGTCTGACGCTGAGTAATTAAACAGGAAAGACAGATATCAATGCTTTAAATTCAGCCACTGCAGTTTTTCTATTGTTTCCTTTATCCCTGTGAACGAAGCGAAACTCAATTAACGGATCTGCTGAATTGATAAGAGTAGCCATGCATACCGACGTGTGTATGCATGTTCATAATGACCTTCAGCTAGAACACAGTGCAGCACACTTCATTTCAAAAATCTCACGCAGACACACATTGGAGTGAGGCCTCTATCACTGGCTCCAGATCTCTGAGGCAATAAACTGGCGAATTAGGCCAGTGGAAAAGATACAGGTATTTGTTTATAGATGGAAATCGTGCAGCAGGAAGCAGCAATAATGTGCTAATCGAATCACTGCCATTTCCAACATGAATCACACCAGAGCACGCTGGCGCATATGACTGCTGATGAACACGCTTTTAGTTTTAATAGTTAAAAATATGCACTGTTTTCACAAGACATGACCTCCTTCAACTCAAAGCTGGTATCAGTAAAAAAAAATAATAATAAAAAAAAGCAATTGAATGTGTAGACTCTAGATATTTACAATGATTATGTTATGATCTATTTAAAGCCATAGTATTTTTAGACATAGTAATAAGATAAATATGTACAAAATCATCATTTATAGGGTACTTTCTGTTGGGAGGTGGCTGTCCCAAACTCAATAAATTTACACTTGTAAAAAAAAAAAACACTACATTTTTATTTTTTTAATGTTGGTTTAAAAAAAGAAGTTCTTTTAAAGTGAAGTTTAGCTTTTTACATAAAAAACTACCAAAACACAAAAAGGTTTAGTCCTTAGGTGGAGCCTTATTTTAGCCACACACCCACACTTTAGAGCAGGAAGTGAGACTGCATACCTGTCCCTCATGGCCACATGGTGAGCAGTTAGATCCCATTGTTTTGAAGTAAATGTGTCCCTAAGTATGAAAATCAGTGTGTAACATTAACAATTTGCACAGATTTTTTGTAATTAAGTAATGTTTTTTGTGTTTTAGTGAAACATATTATGATTTTATGTATGTACAGCTGTTCAAAGCTGTGTTTGCTAGTCATGTACTGGCTAGTGTTTTTGAGTTCTGAATTTTAGCTTTTTTTTTTTTATTTTTTAATTAGCTAAAATTGTCACCACCGAAACATTTGGTAAAGTTTTGTTAGAGTTATGATTGTTTTGGTAGTGACAAAATGGAATGTTCCATCATTTGTTTCCATAAAATAAACATAAATAAAGTATAAAGTCACTCAGAGCAAAATGATTTTACTCTAAAGTCCAAGTCAGTTAAAAGTCTGAAATGTGTTTTTAACTCCAATTCAGTAGAATGATGTATAGGCACAAGCTGATCCACTTCTTCCGTATTGGTCCTTTGTTTTGCCTGTGTTTTCAGTGGGTCTGTTGTGTTTTGCATGCATTTTCAGCGTTTGGACTGCTGGACCGCCCGCCTAGCACCTGCACTCTCTCTCTTAAACTACAATGCTGTAAAACATCAAGAATGTGGCTTGATATTGTCATGTTCAAATAAGCAAGGTTGTCTCTGAAAATGACACTGTGTAGGGGCAGAACATGTTGCTCAAAATGTGTTCAGCTTTAGTGGTGCTTTAACAGATGAGCAAGTTACCTATTAAGGCCCTCCATTCCATCACAGACCGTTGCATTTGGACTTTACGCTGGTAACAACGTTGACTTATCAGACCACAGTACACGTTTCCACCGTGCATTAGTCCATTTTAGATAGGCTTGAGTCCAGAGAAGTCTGAAACAGTTCTGGACTTTGTTGACATATGATTCAGCTGTGTATAACACAGTCGTGACTTGCATTTGTGGATGCAGTGACAGATGGTATTTGTTGACAACGGTTTGTCAAGATATTGCTAAGCCATTCCTGGATGCTCCATTAATACCCAAGCATGATTACATCACCTTTTTAAGATGCTTTCTAAACATTTCACAATGTTCCTAGTCTTAAATTGGCCCCTGTCCCAACTGTTTTTTGGAACATCTCGCAGGCATCAGTTTCAGAATGAAATTGTATATTTCCAAAAAATATATAAATCACTTTTTAATAAGATGAATAAATCACTGTTTTCTGTATTTATCTGCATTTCGCGCACTGTCCCAACTTTTTTGGAACTGAGTTTGTACTTGGATGAGCATCACTTGCATATTTGAGATACTCAAGCGTACAGATGTGCTCACTGTGGTTACATCTGCTTGATGACCAATAAAAGACATGTACAGGAACACAAACGCCCACACACATTCTCTCTCACACAGAGTTTGGGGGAGGATTTGGTGTTGGGCGGTCTGTATGACCGATAGGTCTCAGGGGAGCACTCTTCATTCTTCCAGCCTGTATATCTGATGAAATGTCATCACCACAGCCTGTTAAAACCCTTCCATCTCCTCCCCCTTACCTCCGTTCTCTCCTTCATGTAGTCTGTCCATCCTCCTATCCTTTCATCAGTTCTCTTAACCCTTAAAGTGGAGAGCAAAAATAGTGAGCTGGTTTGATTAGACTGAAGAATCACACTGTGCAGACATTCACATTGTGAATGCAGTTATTTTCTTCTGTCTCTTTTTCTTTCTCTCCCACATTTTCTGTTTGTGTGTGTTGCATTGAAGCTTCATTGACATGACAGTGAACAGTGTCAGGAACAATTTTGCTAAAGCAAAGTTTATTCTGTTTTAATATTTAATGGCCAAATATTGTATCACAGTATCATTAAAGTTTCTGACAGTTTCAGTATATATCACGGTACACATATATTTTCAAATAAAACCATTTAAGATGCTTAAATAAACCCCGGTTATTAGGTTAACAGTGGCTTATTATTCGGGAATGTCTGAAATATTTTAATTAGAACCTTTTTAAACAACCAAAGTAATTCTGAAATGTTTTTATTGTGCAAAATAGTAAAAACACCAACAAAAAATACTGAACATGTAGATAAACCATAAGTCATACTACCTTAATATGTAGTGAGTAAAGCATTTGTAACAGTACTTTCACCAGATTTGGATTGATGCATGCTTAAAGTTAGCTGGTTAAGCAAGAACGGACGCCTGGATCCAGAAAGCTGAGAAAGTTTTCTGTAATTTAAACTGTTACTCGAACCCAAAACGAGCATCTAATACAGGGGTCGGCAACATGCAGCTCTCTGTTGCGGCTCCACAGCAGAATTTGATTTTTAGGTAAAAATAAAATAATCCTCCTTTGCAGTAAAATAAAGCTCTGCTGATCGTTCAACACAGTTTTAACACTAATTATCTTCAACGCTGGAGTTAATGTAGAACTGCTAATTCACCATTTAACCCTGAAGATTTAAGATGAACATCGATAATTTGGAGATTAATGCACTTTTTCTTATTTATAAGCGCTCAGCTGGTTTCCTGATATGTTTAATCTGCAGCGAGAAACTGTCAAACACGCGAAGTCAAATTCTCATTCAGATTCTCTCATTCCACCTTAAATGGTGCAGCAGTTACATTCTGGCGCCTCAGGCACGATTTAAGGTGGAATGGAAAAAATCAAACAAGAAGCTGGAGAATGAGAAGCGACTTCAGCCTCGTAAAAAGTCGAACGTTGAGAGACATTTAACAAGAAACTGTTCTACTTTTGAGAAAAAGTTTCATACCAGAGATGTGAGAAAAGCGGCTATAGCTGAGCTAAAACTTAAAGCAGAGCAAAGTAAGTCTGTGTGTTTGTTTATAATATATTTTTTAGCCTATATTAGTACATTAGAACATACTGAGACATATTAACAGCCAAGACGGTAAAATAGACATAAAATGTTGTGGCTCCCAAGGTGGTTTGATTTTTGTTGAAAGGACAAATTGGCTTTTCTCTACATTTGGGTTGCCGATCCCTGGACTAGTCATTAGAAATACACAAACTAGCCAGGTATAAATTTGCATGATTAAGACAGCTACAGCCAGCCCTGAGCATTGCGATTATATTGTTATGTATTACTGTTCATACTATATATATATATATATATATATATATATATATATATATATATATATATATATATATATAAAAACAATATTGTGAACCCATCAGGTGACTTGGTTTAAAAATTGGCCTGCATTGTTTTTGACCAAAATACCCACAAACGTGTTACTCTGGAACTGTGAGTGGTCAGGATGCTCACAGCCACAGCCCACTACAAAACACTGCGATTGGTCAGAGAGTTCACTTGTTTATTGCAGCAATGTCAGTATCACAGTGATCAGTATTGCAGTCATGATTAACAAATGATACATAGTGCAGCCCTAGTTAAAACTGTAGTTTAACATATTCTACCACAATGTTCCCTTGTCTTACTGTTTAGTCAGCTAACTGTCTTATTGTGATAGTAGAAAGTAACACAGGCAGCAAAGTGCTGAAAAACTGCTGAGCCAGTGAGAATACACAAGCAGCCCCCTGTAAGTCATACCCCCCACCAAGACAGCGCCTCTCTGCCGCACTGCCCTCTTTTCTCTTTCTTTCTGTCTGACACGCATTCAGTTGTGTTTACGGATTCCTGCTGAACTCGTCCACTACCAGCAAGGCCCATCCGCTACTTCAGCATTAAAAATAGCCGTGCTATAGAGTAGATTTTAGTTTGTGGGATTGTTTGTGTATTTGTTTGTTTTTCCTTGCTCTCTTGCTGCAGAGTTTGCTCTCTGCTTGAGATTAGATTGCGCTAGCATTGTGCTCTGGGATTCTTTCTGTCTTCTAGTCTTCACCGAAAAGAAGAAGAGAAGGATTTTCCTGCAGGGAGAGTTTGCCTTAGAGGATTTCTATCAGTAACAAGCACTCGTTATTTTCTCTCACTTAGCCTTGCTTCCTCCCACTGTCTCTAAATTCAACACAGTTCAGATTCTTTATAGACTGTTTAAAATGTTGCCAGACACAGTAATAACAGTAAGGCAAAAATAATGAATATTAATGTGAAAAGAAAGTCTTATTGGAGCTGGAATAGTTTGGCCTGGGGAGGGATTTTAATTTATTGTGCATCTGTAGTGTGTGTACTCTTTACAGTCTGACAGTAAATGTGCAGAATGATTTAAATCCAGTATGAATTGGCAGTGTATGTAGTTTTCACAGTTCGACAGCAAAAGTTGTGAAGAGATTTTAATCCAGTATGAATCTATAGTGGGTAATATTTACAGGTTGACAGTAATAATTGTGGATTGATTTTAATCCAGTATGAATCTATAATATGTAATATTTACAGTCTGACAATAATAATTGTGGAATGATTTTAATCCAGTATGAATCTGTAGTGTGTAATATTTACAGGTTGACAGTATAACTTGTGGAGTGATTTAAATCCAGTATGAATCTATAGTGTGTAATGTTTACAGTCTGACAGTAATAATTGTGGAGTGATTTAAATCCAGTATGAATCTATAGTGTGTAATGTTTACAGTCTGACAGTAATAATTATGGAGTGATTTAAATCCAGTATGAATCTATAGTGTGTAATGTTTACAGTCTGACAGTAATAATTATGGAGTGATTTAAATCTAGTTTGAATTATGAGTTTAATGTTTGCAGTCTGAAAATTCCAGAGATATTGACTTACTGTAACTGGCTGAACCTGGAGCTTCCTCTGTCACAGTAGTCCCGTTCCAATCCACTTTACGATAAAGGAATATCAAAACTTGCTAACAGACATGGTCATGTGCTGTGTTGTTGTCATTGGGCTACCCTTTGATATCTTTGACCCAGAGATACTTTGTCCTGTAAAAATTGACCAGTCAGATACCTTACAGATAACATCATAGCGGCTTCTCGAGTTTTAGCACAACATGCTGTGCTATTACCATAATAATCCTCAACACATGCACTCTAACACACTGACTCTCTTCGCTTCAGGGCCCCCTTCGGCTCCAGAAAACCCCATCTCCACCCTGAATGACACCTCTGTCACCCTGGAGTGGAGCCCTCCACGGGACAGTGGTGGACGCGGTGACGTTACCTACAACATCCACTGCAGAAAGTGTCCAGGGGATGGCAGGAAGTGCAGCCCCTGTGGCAGCGGTGTGCATTTTCTGCCCCGTCAGTTTGGACTCTCCATGGCCAAAGTGCTGGTCTCAGATCTGCTGTCTAATACCAACTACACCTTCAGCATCGAGGCGGTCAATGGGGTATCTGACCTGAGTCCAACCCTGAAACAACAAGTGACTGTCAACATCACCACTGGCCAGACAGGTAGGAACTACTAACCACTATGTATTAGCTTGTATGATCCAATCAAACAAATTATATTGATGACACAGTTAACTCATTTGTATTTTATTATAAAAGTATACTACTGTATAGTTTTATATTACAGTTTTATTACTATTACATGAATAGTTATTCATCTATTAGTCACTTAAATCACTCTGAATAAGCAAATAGTCTTTCCTTTTACTGCTTTTCTGTTTTCCCCACATCTAGTGTATCTCAGTAATGCAGAATCTTTCTTGCTGTCAGGCAGAGCGCAATTATACATGTACACAAATCTGCACAGCCCTCTAAACATGTTTCATTAGGCATGCTTTTCCCCATCAGAGTGAAATAGTGCCTCAGGCAAAGCTTACTTTGAAGAGCTTTAGCTTTGCACTAGCCGCAGCAATCCTGTTGGTTTTGATTGACCCTGAAGTGAGAACTTGTAGTTAGCATACACAAAAATGTGCAGTTTCAAGAAAAAGTTTGTGGGCCATTTAGAATGGATCTAGATTTCTATATAAATAGCTCTTAAAATGTCAGCTGATCATCTGTGTCATAATAGTAAAAAACAACAAACACTACACGTGTTGCCATAACTTTACTGAGCAAATGGTTTCATCAATTAATGTAATTTATGTAAACCTCTGGAGAAAGAGGTAATTAGAGTCTGCTGGTCCAGTCAATTCAGGTGTGACTTGCTCTTGAGAAAACACCATTATGGTTTCTTGCCCCATTCACAACAGGATTCTGTTCAAGTTCAATATGGCCCAATCAATAGAGACCTCAGAGGACCTTAAAAGAGAGTTAGTTGAAGCTCAATATTGAAGAAGAACTACAAAAGGATAAGTAATGAGTTGGACCTCCACCCGTCTGCAGATAGACTGCTAGTTTGCAAATGGAAGGAAAAAAAGCACTGTTGATGCTTTCCTAGGAGTACAGCCAGTACAAGGCACTGCCATAGAGTCCTCAAAAAAGTCTGAAAGTGTTGAACTTAATGTCTGTGTTTGAGTTCTACTGAGGAAAAACAAAAACAAAAACTTGAACGAGTGTTGTTAGTTAAGGGTTTCCATGGAGGAAACCATAGCTTCAAAAAAAGAAGTCTGCTGTAAACAAGCATATGGAACGATAAAAAATGAGGAAAAAGTTGAACTTTTCGCCTGATGTACACAACATTATGTTTGGGAAAACATCAGCACCAGCACAAAAGCCTAATGCCACCTCTAAGCATAGTGGAAGGAGTCTAACAAAAACAATAGTATGGATCTTCTTTGCATATTGTACAAAACTATTTTAAATTGTAACTGTAAACAGATAGCACAAACATCATTCAAATGACTGTGAAGCATGGTGGTGGGAGTGTAACAGTATAATAGTGTGGGCCTTCTTTGTTGCATCAGGGCCACAATTTTGCAGTAATTCAGGAACAAAATAAATTAGCCGTTGTTACAGCATAATATGAGGACACTTATATGGATACATTTAAAAACAGCGATTTCATATCATTTTTTTTTCTGTGAGCACTGAAAGGCTGAGATGAGAGAAATGACATGTTAACTGATTCATTTCCCCAAAGCGCTCTGTTGTAATGCAAACCAGCAAAAATGCAACAAAATAGAGTAAAATTGTAGAGATTTTGCTGTTTGTTTGTTTGCTTATTTGTTTGTTTTTTCAGTAGTGACCAAGTCAGAGTCCTGAGCGCATTTCCTTTGAGATTCTATGACATGGTATGAAGGGAAGCATAATATGAGCTGAAACATTGGAGGTTCCTCTAGTTACTAATTATGAATTCACATACTTCATCACTCCATCAATGACCTTTGTGTGTTTTCTTAAGACGTCTTTCTTTATTATTATGAATTAGATGATCAGATCACTTCGTAGGGACTATTCATACAGAAACCCAGAGTTTTAAGGGCTTCACAAGCGTTTTTATTCTCTCAGTTGTATCTTTTATGAGAGTTGGGGGGAAAGATATTTTCTTTCACATGCTAGTCAGATTTGCTTATTCAGAAATCATTGCTTATTCAGAGCGATTGCTGACAGGGAAGGTTATGGTTTCATTCAAGGACGTAACTTTCTAAACTCTAGAGTGTGTGTGGTTGGCATGCTTTAGACAATTCCACCTGTCAAATTCCATTCAGCAGTGCTATTCAGCTCTGAGGGCTATTATTACATTATTAATGCCTTGTTATATTATACATAGTGAGTCTTGAAAGCTGCAGAGTTCAGGGTTTGGGTTTTGAGGTAACCCTGTGATAATCATATTCATGAATCTTTTTTTGCCTTGTCGGTGATTGATTTAGAGAGTTTGACTTTGTCCCCTTTAACTCAATAAAGTCAGTCCTTGTGTGTTATCAGCGATGCTGTCTTAGGCCTTAAGTGGGGAAAAGTAAGCTAATAAAACTGAGCTTGTGAACTGCCCATAGATGAGTTAGACCAGTGAGAAGCAACCAAACACCCATGCGTAGCCACAGGTAACTGGTCTGCCACGCTGGCCAGAAAAAATTAAAGTGGCTATGCTGGTCCTCAGGAGGTACCACTGAGACAAAGTTAAGCATTTTGCTTAATAAACACAGAATTGTGTTTGGAAAAAAAACATACCAACACCCGCTATCTTTTTTTTGTGGAGAGCAAAGCACCTACTAGCACAGTTGATGGTGTCACTGGTAAGAAAATAGCCCCTCGTACATAAAGGTGAGAGAATACCCGATAATGCCCTGCATTTTTGGCATTAACCATGTTAGGGTGCGTTACTGTGCACTGTTAAAAATGAGAGGTCAGCTCAACTCAAAACGATATATTAACTGATTACATGGCTTTTCTTGAGTTGACTCAACTTGAGGACACGAGTTCACACAACTCAGTCTTCCTAGTTGAGTCAAAAGTTCTCTTAATTTTTTAGTTCTGCAACTCAGTGAGGTGAATAAAATGAACTTGTTTTTTTTTTTAATACTCAACTTCCCGACTAGTCGGGACTCTTTGCATCACACAAAGCTGCTAGATATTTTTCCTCTTGGGTAAGCACTTCTGGATGGCTATGGCATTACTGGGGCTCAAACTCACAGCCTCCTGTTGGGGTGACGGCTTAGTCCACCGCACCACTCAGGAACACATGAAGCAACTCAGATTTTGTATCTACAAATGTTTAATACACCGTAGAAAATATTTGTTGTTTTAACTTTAAAGCACGCCATCGTCTCATGTGGTGCAACTGTCTCATAATTCGTCCCAACATCAGGAGTTTGTGAGTTTGAATCCCAAAGCTGTCCATATCTAGAAGCCCAAGAGGAAAATAAGCCAGATGAAACGGTGTGATAGAAAGAGCGCCAGCTAGTGGGAAATTGAGTAAAAAAACAATTTGATTGTGTTTATCTAAGTGAGATGCAGACCTAGAAACAGAAGCTGAGAGAATTTTTGACTTGAATTCTGGTGTTTTCAAGTTGAGTGATCTCAAGAAAAGCCATGTAATCAGTTACTAAATCATTTAAGTTGAGCAGATTTCTAATTTTTAACAGTGTGTAAATGTTTTGAGTAAAATGATAAGTACCAAGGCAGTCTAAGTTACAGTGAAACGACTAACAGGTTCTAGATATTAGGCTAATAAAAGATATAGTGAAATATCTTATACATATTTGGAGTAACAAGGTGAAAAAAACAAATATGCACTGGTTCAGTGTAATTTCACACATTTAAGCATAAAAGTAAATCAGAAACACCTCCAAGTACCAGGTAGGTTATATAGTGTAAGTTACATACTTACCAAGTTAATATCTAGAACCTGTTGGGCATTTCAGTCAAATTTAGTTAGCCTGCCTTAGAACTTACTGTGGTGTTTTCTGGAACTTTAGAGTTTGTACCTCGCATACCTTTTTAATATCTAAAACTTAGGACACTGTAAAAAAGTTTAATTCAATTTAAATCACAATATATTATCTTCTCTAGTTGCAAACACTACTGTGGTATTGATTAAACATTTAGAATCTGCACTTTCAACACAATTTCACCACTTATTTCAATGAACAACAAGTGAGACATAACTCACCAAAATATAAGAAGAGGTGCAGCATTGAGGGCTCTGGGAGGGTTCATCTATAGTAAGGTAAATTCTGTGGACCCCACATTCACAGACCACAGTCACTCTGAAAGGCCTGCTCTTGTAAAAGTTCAAAAGTTCACAGCCACTAAATAAAACATAAGATCAAGGATTCCATGCTCAGGCAGACGGGTGTCAAAAGTCTGATGCTTCTTCTCACTCACTGCTATGTGTGTGAGGAACGCTGAGTCCCCCCATAACTCTCTGACCCGGGCTGTAAATATGCATGAGTCTTTTCTGCAAGTGATGAGGGGAGTTTTCTGAGAGGAATGAGCCCGAGCCAAGGGTCAAACACAGCCTCAGGAATGTGAACGATTCACGCTGAATATTTATCAGCTCGGCTTTCTGAAATAAACACGTGCACGGCGCAGAACTACGCAGAGCCATTTCGACATCCTCAGACACACTAATCTGATTTGATTATACACTGTAAGTAATATAAATATTTGTAGGGAATGTGTTCTGCAGACCGCATTCCAGTGGTGAACCGGTTGTAGAGAAGGACCACAGAAGTTGTGCTAGAACCATTTAGAGTTCTTTTGCAATTGAAGAGGGGTTTTGTTTGGAGGATATGGGACAGAGGACATGGGACAGAGGACACACGTTTTTTGATTAGCCCATCATCCAAGACATGTTTAGTGTCTGAAGTGTGCTGCTATTTTTGCACTGGAGCTGTGAGACTAATGTGGCTAGGAAGTAATGGAAGCTTATACCCCACTAATTAGCAATGTACACACACTTTTCACTGTAGTAGTTGTTGTTGAGCACTGGGGGGTGGGGAAGGGGTTGGGGAGGTTGGGGTGGGTAGTATGAGGAACAAAGACATGGTCACCTCCTGACTTACTGAGATCTTTACCTCCAAACACCTGACCAGGACAGACAAAAAGGGGTGGAGAAATATATAAAGATACGTGCTTTGAGACATGCTGAGAGGTAAGAGTGAGAGAGAGAAAGAGAAAAGGTATGAGCAAGAGAGAGAGAGATAGAGAGAGACCTACTTGAAGGCGTGAAAGAAAGTGAGCCAGAGACACAGAGAGAGAGAGAGTTAGAGGACAAGGAAGAGAGTCAGTGACAAAAAGGAAGGATGGAGAAAGACATGCTGATACCTGATTGGGGGAGAAAAAGAGTGAGAGAGAGAGAGAGAGACAGCGAGATAGAGGGGGGTAGGATAAAGTAGAGAGAGTGAGAGATAGAGATAGAGAAAGGTAGAGGGGGTAGAGAAAGGTAAAGATAGAGGTAGGGGGGGTTAGTGAAAGGTGGAGAGAGTGAGAAACAGGTAGAGAAAGGTAGAGAGAAAGGTAGGGAGAGTGAGAGATAGAGGTGGAGAATAGTGGAGAGATGGAGAAAGAGATAGAGGTAGAGAAAGGCAGAGAGAGATAGATGTCGAGAAAGGTGGAGAGAGAAAATGTGAGAGATATGGGGTAGAGAAAGGTGAAGAGAGAAAGAGGGAGAGAGGTGGGGGTAGAGAAAGGCGGAGAGAGAAAGGGAGAGTAAGAGATAGAGGTAGAGGAAGGTGGAGAGATAGAGGAAGAGAAAGGAAGAGAGAGATAGAGGTAGAGAAAGGTGGAGAGAGAGAAAGAGGGAGAGACGTGGGGATAGAGAAAGGTAGAGACAGAGGTAGAGAAAGGTGGAGAGAGAGAAAGAGGGAGAGATAGAGGTATAGAAAGGTGAAGAGAGAAAAAGGGAGAGGGATGGGGTAGACAAAGGTAGAGAGAGAGAAAGAGTGAGACAGGTGGGGGTAGAGAAAGGTAGAGAGAGGTGTTAGACTGTATCAGTCAGGTTGTGGTGTAGGAGTGTAATTACTTGCTGAAGTGAGACCCCCTCTACAGAACACACTCATACAGCAACATGTGTGTGTGTGTGTGTGTGTGTGCGTGTTTGCGTGCGTGTGTGTGGATGACAAGTGCTCTTGAGGGTGTATAGTGAAGCTTCTGTGGCGGCTGCTGATGCACTAAAATTAAAATGCTTGGCCAGAACTGAAATCAAAATTCCAAACACACTGAGCCCAAAACTGAGAAAGCTGACAATGTATAAGACCAGTTTACATAAAATAAACCTCATAAAATCATTAGTTATACTTTTAGTGAAACTTTGCATTTTGCCAGTCGTTTGAGATTCTTTTCTCGGTTCAGTACCACGGCTGCAGACTGTATCGTTGTGCTGGGCAGGAATTTCTGCTCCTGTTATTTTGCTACATTCTGCATACTGAGCAGGATGTCATGTATAGAAGTGTAATCAGTGGAGATGTTCTCGGCCGTTGTGCACCCTCAGTTACAAATCCCTTGTCTACCATCCCTTGTAGCCACAGTGAAGTAGTTCCTTCTACACTGGGGGCTTTTTCACTGATTATCTGCTGCTGCTCAAACTGTTTGAGCAGTTAAGGAGGGCAAAGAAAACAAACTGCGTTTTAAATAACTTTTTCTCAGTTTATTTACCATTCAGTTTTTTTGTATTCTTAGATTTTGACACTATAGTGTAGGTCCTTTTCATCTTTCTCTTTTGGCCAAAAACCAAATGTCTTATTTTTTTGACCAGTTTCTATCTAAAATCTCAGTGCACCCTTATTTTCTGTGTCAGGATATCAGAGCACTTGTAATTAATGAAAAGAACACAGTTTGTTTGGACTGCACACACACACACAGCCAACCACACACACTCACACAGAGTTCATTTTGAATATTATTGTCTGTGCTTGAGTTCCCAAATGCATCAGCACCTTCATGCTGTGCTGTTTATCTCTCTCTCTGTAATTTCTCATTTAGATGACTGCAATCAATTTCAATTACGTTCTCCCTCTTTCCCTCTATCTCTCTTTCTCTCTCTTTCTCTCTCTCTCTCTGCAGTGAGTGTTATTCTGAAAGAGAGAAAGAGTAAGGACAGCATCACTCTGGCGTGGCAGGGACCTGACAGACCAAACGGAGCCATCGTCGAGTACGAAGTCATTTATTATGAAAAGGTAAAGACAACTGTCCGCTTTAATTTTCTCTTCTCTTCTCTTCTGTTCTCCCTTCCCCCTCCTCGTCTCTAGCAGATCTGTCTCTCCTTTCCACACACAGATCTCACATACTCCTCTCTGACCCCCATTAGAGCTCCTAACGATTACAGGCGGTCAGGCAGGCGTCTAATCAAAGGCTAGAGAGTCATCTCACTCTTGAGAGTGAAAGTAATCTCTGGCTCACATGCCACTGACCGCGTGTACAAGGCTTTCCCCTGTTAATTAGCTCCAGCGAAAGAAGCCTGACATCACTGAGTCTCACAGTATCAACCTTAACTTCATCTTAACACAGCATGAGAGCAAATATGTCTGTATGGTCCAAACCCATGTACTCCAGAGCAAGTTGATATTAGTCATTCATTACCTGAAACTCTGCATCTGCAGAGACCTGAGATTTTTTATGTTATTTTTACCTGAAAAATCTACCTGTGCTGGAGCCACAACAGGGCAGTACAAGAGCCACATGCCCCTCCGGAGTCGCATGTTGCCAACCCCTCACCAAACTGGCTAGCTCACTTACTCGCTAATACATAAATAGTCTCATTTGTAAACATTTATATAGATGGATTTGATCTTATAATATTTGTAAGTGCAAATCCTTATTCTAATTGTGATTTATAAAATGCTATGAAATAATTTGATATGAAAATGCATGTAAAAGAACGTTTTTCCAACCTTGCACAGGAATGTAATAGTGGCAGTGCCGGTGTGCTACTAGCATTATAGTGCATGATTCGTAAACATTGAGTTGTTATACGTTTGCATGCAAATGTGACAAATTCCACTTAAAGGAAGCCAGTTTTGTTGGGAAAATGCTAATGTGACTGGGCCTTTAGAGACAAAGCATCAAAATCGGCTTGATTGGTTGAAAAACTGAATTCTGGCTATTTTTGGTACATAAAACTGCACTAAATGTTCTAAGTGGACTAAAGGAAATGACTAAAACATGCTAGCATTGTGTTCACTTATCCTCACAATGTCTTATCTTTGAGAGCCGTGCATTCATAAAGTGAATAAACCCAGTTTGTTCAGTTACGCCACATCCTTCACAGCTTACTTTGAGCGAGTGCTTGTCGTATGCAGCGGCTGGCACATAGGCCAGATTTAGCATGATTATGGGTTATGATCCTATATTGAATACACAGATGGGTGTCTGGCACAAGAGGAGTCTGTGGCAGATGCTTTGTGTGTGTTTGTGTGTGTGTGTGTGTGTATCAGAAGCCACACACGCACTTGTTCACGCAGGGTCCAGTCACTCCAGAGCTCATTAGGAGACGGAATGGCCTTTTTCTAATTGGCTCGCAGAAGAGATCGATCAGACGCTGATGAAAGTCGTACAGCTCCAACTTGAGTGACAGTGGGTGGCATTCTAATTTCTTGGAGGAAGATTGCCTCTTATTATGCTTGTATGATTAGCTCATACGCTTCTTCTCAACAGAAGTGTTAAGCATACACGCATACAGCACATCAGGCATTCATCAATTGGTGTGTTGACAGAGGCAGGGTGGTGGGTTGGCGCTTTTAGGGTATAACTTTAATGAGTTGTTTATTATATATGAATGAAAACATTGCCCCGGTTTCCCTCCCACACATACACCCCTGTTTGTTTTTATGGTTTGTCAGGATGTACATACAGTATACTATGGCGAAAAATGTCAGAGAACACCCTTCATTTATTTCAGTTCCACTCGTAACAGCCATTAAGTACAAGTTATTAATTTGTCAACATAAGTAAACATATATTTAACAGAAAATTACACAGAAGCCTCGACAACTAAATATAATATTATATTTTTCAGTGTTTTTCAATGTCCACTGTTTGCTTTTATTACACTTTTCCATTCTTTTCTCGAGGCTTGCTTTCAGTTTTTCATAGAAAATTGCAGAAATGTTTTTCCACACGTCCAAAGTTCAGTCTTAGAAGTTGGTTGCATTTTCTGCTTCTCATGAGCGAAATAATTCAAGACACATTCAGTGATGTTGAGGTCTGGAGTTTGGGGTGGTCAATCCATTGTTCTCAGAGCACCAGCAGCTTCTTTGTTTCTTCTTTTTTGTCTATTTCCTTTTCTCAGTGATGGCTTCTTAAGTTACACAACCTTTCAGACCCAAAGCGTTGAAATGTTTTCTCACGGTGGAAGGATGGACTGTGGATGTTTTCAGATCTGAAGCAGCTTGATTTTCTCCTCTCTCTCAATGCTAAAAGCTTTAAGAACTCTTAATCTGATGGGGACAGTTTTGATGGTGTACCAGGTCTTCCAGGTGGTTGTTAGGAATCCCCTTTTCTCAGTATCCTTTAATAATTATTTGAACTCCAGTGTTGTAAAGTCCTGGTTTTCTATTGTGTGTGTATTTGACCTTCCACTTTCTTGTGCAAGTAGATTATCTTAGATCTAATCTCCTCAGAAAAATCTCCTGAAAAATTAACATGTTGCACTTCATGGCTGTTTTTGGGTGGAAATGAAATAAATGGTGTTTCTGACTTTTACACAGTACTTTATAGCCTGTGCCCCATTTGCACTGCCACTGCAACAAAACCTAATATTTCTGAATGTTCTTAAGTTCAAAGTATGTCAATAAAATATGAAAATATGATATGAATCTTTGGTTTTTCAGGCCAAAGTCAGGACTTGTCCTGAAAACGTATGAAAACAAACCGTACAAGCACCACAGTATCATGAAGAGAGCCAGATGCTGACTCAGGCCCAATCCCATTTCTTATTATTACCTCTAACCCTTTCTTTTCGAGTGTTGCAGTCGAGTGTCTTCCCTACGAAATGATAGCAGTGATAGCAGAGGAGGGTAAAGTTCAGAAACCTCGCTCCTGGGCTTTAGTTACATTTAGGGAGTCATATGCCTTCAAAGGAGGGGGGCGGTTGGGGGTGTTGGGGCTGTGAACCTGAAGTCAACAAGATTTGGGACACCCTACGCCTAACTGTGAATGTGCAAAGCGGAAGGGTAGGGCTAAGTGGTTGGGCCGAGGGGTGAAATGGGATTGGCATCTCTGTGTCTAATGTCTTATGAGCACACATTCGTTGGTGTCCTGAAAAAGAGCCTGATGTTAATCCACACTTCAGATCTGCAGACTCACATGGCTGCGAAATAATATTCAGTATTAATTCCTCTAATCCCCATTTCACAGTGAGAAGCCTTATTAAAGCAGAGCTCTTTACAGGTGTCTTCTTTTTCACTGCTAAAACCATTTACGTTTATTCAAACAGGGCCTATTCAATAACTCAGGCCACCAGAACATTACTGAAAAGCTATTTCTTTAATAAAGTCTACATATGGAGCACTGTGTGTAATAGCTTTGCATAAATATAGCCCTTCAGATTCAAATAAAATATTTAAGGTTTTTCTTTCCATGAAATTTTTAAATACCCACCCCATCACTGTCGGTCTATCCTTAACGCTTGAATTTGAAAACAATTATTGGTAACACTTTCTATGAATGTCACCTTTGTAAGCATCTATAAACACATTCGTAACATGTTATGATGCATTCATAAGGCATTATAAACATGGCTATAAATATTTATAAAAATGCATTACACGTTATAGCCATGCTTATTATGCATTATGAATTGTTAACATAATACATTAGAAGTACTGATCATAACAAATTATAAGAGCTCATAAGTCGTATTTGTCCGCTCTAAGTAAAGTGAAGCGTACTGTACTAAAGCCTCCTCCAGTGTTAAGAGTGAGGCTTCAAGTTGAAATATTTACTGAAGGATTTACTGAAACACTAAAACATTCACAATAAAGCACATTACAGGCTTCAAACGTCAGAGTTTAAACTAGTGCTGCTATCAGTGTTTTACCCAATGTGGGAAAGGTAATGTACACCACCGTTAGCTTGGTATTTGTCTTTACTTTACGCTCTCCAAGCTGGGACTGACTTCTTTGGCACTGACAGTATAACATGTTATTAACACTATTTATAATGCATTATATTAACAATTCATAACGTATAATAAACATGGCTGTAAAGTGTAATCCAGTGTAATTCATTTTTATAAATGTTTATAATCATGTTTATAATGCCGTATGAAGGCATTATAACATGTTATACGTGTTTATAGATGCTTACAAACGTGACATTCATAGAAAGTGTTACCCAATTATTTTATACCTCTTTCTGTTTAATGTTCTAAACTTTTCTATTTTTTATTATTTAAATTTGATGAAAGGTTATTTTTGTACATTTATACCACTTTTTTGTCATCGAATGAAATGAAAGCAAAGAAAAACATCAGAATGTCTAACTTGTTGGTGCAGAATATAAATGTAATTATTTACATAACTATGTAAACATGCAACATTCAAAGACCTCTCCATTTATTTAATTTCCAGCCAAAATGTTTTAAGTGCCAGATGTTCATTTTTCAGGAGATATTTCTGAAGCTGAAAGTCAAAGGAAAATAAATGAAGAAAAAAAATTAGGGTTCAAAAAATGAATGTAGACCACCTCTGTCATCAACACGAAGCTGTTACTGACAAAAAAAGGAAAATTTGCAAATCTAACAAGAAGCTTGTGGTGTTCTCAGAACAATGTATTGACCATCACAGAGCCCACAGCGTCATTGAATGTATTTGAGGTTATCTGGATTGCAAGAAGCGAACAGTGCAACCAACCTCTAAGACTGAACTTGGAGTGGAAAAATATCCCTGCAGATTTCTTTGAAAAACTGAAGGCAAGTCTTCTAAAAAGAATGAAAGGTGTAATACCAGGAAAGGGTGGACACACTAAATACTGAAAAAAAAAATTGTATTTAGTTGTTAAGGCTTCCGTGTTATTTTCTGTAAAATAAATGTTTTTGTCATTTTCCTGATGCTAAAAATGAATAACTTCATGGCAGTTTTGACTAGAAATGAAATGAAGGTTGATCTCTGTATAGCATATGTACATCATCACATTCTACTTACGTTTAAAATTAAGATATAGCTATTGCTATACTACGACATTGCCTTTAAGGCTCTGTCAGTCTTGCTTTGTAATGGCATCATGTTGTCTGGACTTTCAGAACCAGAGGGACCAGAACTACACGGTGCTGAAGACCAAGTCTAATGTGATGACAGTGGAAGGCCTGAAACCTGGGACTACCTATGTGTTCAGAGTCCGCGCTCGCACCGACGGAGGCTACGGCAGCTATGGCGGCGAGATCGAGCTGGAGACCAGCCATGAAGGTGAGCTAACTTTTCGCAGTCTATATGTACTGTTTGTATTCTTCACAAGAAAGTGCCATTCCCAGTCATTTCCCACCCATGTATTGCTGTATTTGGTCTGCCTTGCTAATTCTTTAGTCTTTAAAGCCAATACTACATGCAGAATTGCTACTATGTGCAAAATAAAGCAACCAGTATGAAAACTTTGTGAATGCTATGGATTTTAAGAAGCTAAAAATTTAGATAATCAATAGCAGCTGATAAAATATGATAGGAAATGAATCTGATTCCAGTAGTTTTAGTTAAACAGTGTTTGACTGACAGATATAACTACCCTGGGATATCACTAAAGATATTTATTATTAATATTTTACCTCTCAGTAATAAGTTACAACGAAGGCAAAGCTTGCACTGATAATGCAGTGGGGTGTTAGGTGCGGTGCTGTAGAGTTAAACCCTTTAGATTATGAAATGGCTAATCAGTAAATACTGACATGGCTTAACTCGGTCTGATTAAAGAGATGTTTTCAGTACTTAAGCTTTTTAAATGTCCTCAGAAAGTAGCTATATCTGCAGATTTTCCTACTCGTTTCTGCTAATAACGTGATTCCTGATGGGAAAGTGTGATCCAACTAAGCCAAACTTAACTGACTTGTGACTCGCACTCACCCTTAACTGACTTGAATTTGACTCAGACTCACCCTTAGCTGACTTGCAGCTCAACTCAAACTTGCCCATAACTGACTCACAGCTCGACTCAGACTCACCCTGAGCAGACTTGCGATTCAACTCAGACTCGCGGCTTGGATTCGCTCTTAACTGATTTTAACTTGCCTCAGACTCACCCTTAGCTGACTTGCAGCTCAACTCAAACGCGCCCATAACTGACTCACAACTCGACTCTAGTTGTGATTCAACTTAGACTTACTCTTAACTGACTTGCGGCTTGGACTTGCTCCTAACTGACTTGAATTTGCCCCAGACTCACTCTTAACTCACTCTCAACTCTTCTCGAATCCAACAAGAAAGTAAGTCTCGTCCATCTTTAAGACAGTGACAAAAAAACGCAATAACAGAGAATATTAATGTTAATTGGTGTGATTGTCGCCGGTACAATATTTCTGTGGTACCTTTGCATTTGCTGTTTTTTTGACTCATTGTATTGTATGGGCCTGGGAGCAGTTCATGACTTTAGCTTTTCAGAATGAAATGATCCTTTAACCATCTCTCTCTCCGCTCTGCTTCCTCTCTTCACTCTCTTTACCTCTCTCTCTCTTTCTTCACCCTCCTCCTGCGTATGTGTGCCTCATCGAGCAGCTGCTGTGGGACTTGGTGCAGGATTTTTATTTTAATGTCGTGAAGTAGAGTGTGACTTATTTACCTCCTTCCCTCTGCCGCCCCCCCGGGAGGAAACATACATGTCTCAAAGCCTCAAAGGACACAGAAAGCTGTGTTGCAGTAACCTGTTTGCCTTGACGTGGAGCAGGCAATCGAGGCACAATTTCAGGCCACTATAGAGGGGCTGGGTTGCATGTGACTAATTGGAGCCCCGTCATGGCCCACCAAACACCTCTGGTCCATCAGACCTGCCCCACCGCAGCCAAGGTTACATTTCTAATTCCGCACATCAATCATGTTAATTACTCTTTTAATTAGAGGCGAGGTGCTTAAGCTCATGCCTCACTGGGCTATATTAATAAAAGCCATAAATCCCATTGTTCATACGTCTTATGTTGTATAGCATGCATGCGCTCGGCTGTCTGTTTTCTGACTGTGTGGTGTGAACCCGGTTTGGAGTAACTTATCAGTTGTTTTGTTATTAATATATTAATATTGTTTGTATTTGCATATACAATAATAGTTTAGTGATATCGATATAATACAGTAAACAACACACCTAATTTTATTTTATATTTTAAATAGTTAGGGGCCATGTTGACTGACTCACGACTCAACTCGGGCTCCCCTTAATTGAACTTAGTTGACGCAACTTGAACTTTTCTTTTACTGGCATTTACCTTGTGCTTAACTGTCATGTGACTTGACACAATATTGCCCTTAACTGATTTGGACTTGGAAACGCCCTTAACTGTCTTTAACTTGATTCAGACTCACCCTTAACTGACTTGCAGCTCAACTCAAACTTGCCCTTAACTGACTCACAACTCGACTCAGACTTGCCCTCAGCGGACTTGCAACTCAACTCAGACTTGCCTTTAACTGACTCACGACTTGACTCAATATTGCCCTTAACTGACTTGCGACTTGGACACGCCCTTAACTGTCTTTAACTTGATTCAGACTCACCCTTAACTGACTTGCAGCTCAACTCAAACTCACCCTTAACTGACTCACAGCTCGACTCAGACTTGCCCTCAACGGACTTGCAACTCGACTCGGACTTGCCCTCAACAGACTTGCAGCTCGACTCGGACTTGCCCTTAACTGATTTGCGACTCAAGCGTTGCTGTTTACTAACTCATAACTCGACTTGGACTCCCCCTTAACTGACTCATGATTCGACCTTCGACTTGCCCTTAACTGACTCGTGACTCGACTCAATATTGCCCTTAACTTAAACATGCCCTTAACTGTCTTGAACTTGATTCAGACTCACCCTTAACTGACTCACAACTCGACTCATACTTACCCTTAACTCACTTGCAACTCTTCTTGGACTCACCCTTAACCGACTCAAGACTCAACTCAGACTCACCCTTAACAGACTTGTGACTCGACTCGGACTTGCCCTTAACTGATTTGCGACTCGAACTTGCCCTCAACTGACTCGTGAATTGACTTGGACTTGGCGACGTCTTGCCCTTAACTGTCTCGTGACTTGACTCTGACTTGCCATTAAGTGACACGCGACTTGACTCGGACTCATCCACATTTTTTTTTTTTTTTTAAGTTAAAAGAGGAATTTTTCCACCAGTCATCATGTCCATCCATCTGCACACAAACTTTGAATAGTACTGTATGTGAAAAAGACAGCCTGTACACCTGTACAGCTCAAATGAAATACTGAAGGTCTAGAAGCCAAAGCAGTTTTATCTGAACACGATGACTGTTCTCTGTCTTTCATTCATTGCAGCAAAGTCAATATTAACACTATCGAAGTACCAGCTGTGCCAGAGAGCCACACTGTTGACATTATCTCCACCGCTGAGGTGTTTCAATAAATTTGTGAGGAGTCCCCTTTCCTGCCAAGTCCTCATGCTCCACGCAGTTGTAGTATCTAGTGTATAACTCTCCGAGTGCTGAATGTTAGCGAATGTAATTCGAAATCAATTCATGTTGCCGGGGATATTCATTTCATTTCCCTGAGAGGGGCACTTACTCATGCGTCGCCCGGCTTGATAAATGATGTATTTGTTTTGAGTAATGGCTCGATCAAGGCAGCGCAAAATCCATACGCTAGAGAAGAAAACGTCCAATCCCGGTCTGCCTCTAGGAACGGCGGCGCGGCCATTTGGGTTGCACGGCCGTTTGGGCTGCATGTGGGAAGGCAAAATTGACTTTGACGTCTTGCTGTCGGTGTGGAGCAATAGAATGTCAGCGCTGCATTCTCTGTGGGATCCGGTATCTCATCATACGGTTAGCTACCATGCAGCACTGTGATTCATCTTTCTCTTTCTCTGTTCTCTCTCAGATATGTTGGCTATTGGAGATCCCAACCAGTCCACCATCCTGGCCGTGTCAATAGCAGGTGGCGTGGTGCTCCTCATCTTCTTGGTGGCTTGCTTCGTAGTGAGTGGAAGGTAGGACGCTGGTCTCCTTGAAAGTGTCTACTATCCCTCCATCTTTCAGTCTCTTTCAGGCCAATATGAAGGTTCTACAGATGCATCTCCAAAAGACCTTGTATCTCCAAAATGAAAGACCTTGCATCTCCAAATTGTTAACTTTACAGGAGAAGGCAAAAACCTGCTTTACTTTTAATGTAAGTCAATGGAACCAGACTTGTTTCAGAGTAATTTTGGGTCTTTTCTTTTGGTGCATTCATCTTGAAATTTACACACAATGTAAAGGGCAACAAATTATGTCAGACACTGAAAAACAACAAAAATGGAGATACGAGGTTTAGTTCCGACAGCAGCGATTTGTAAAAATCCTGCCAATAAAAGAGCCTATGTCCCTCAATTCTTTTTTAAATCTTATTTTCTCCCCAATTTTAGTCATTGCAATACCACACACTAGATACATCCCCCCATCACGTGATGCTACTACGCTGGGGGGGAAAAGCTCAGAAGCTCCACTGCATCTTTTCTGCCACTAACACATCAATGGACTGCTTAACATGCTTGGAGAGGAACGCTAACTGCCAATTGTGTTAGAGAAGCTAAGAGCTAACAGTATAGATCAAATCTGAATGTTTGTAAATATAAAAGGTGGTTATAGCATTGGAACAGCCCAATATACGGCACAATTTGTAATAAATACACACGAACAGACAAGACCTTAGAATTAACAATATTATTCTATTATATCTATAACAATAGAATTATGTTGTATTTGAGGCTGTAATTTCAAATATACCCAAGTATGTAGTGAATTTTACTTTTTTTTTTCCCATTTTAAAGCTTTCAAAGGCAACTTGAGCTGCTATAAATAGTACTTCAATAGTGTTAATATTAATTTTGCTGCAATGAATAAACGATCTCACTGAGGGATCCTCTGTGTTTGCGAACACTTGCAGCTGAAGATATCGATAATGTAGTGAATTCTTTACTCTTCAAGATAAAGATAATGTTGCACCAGCACTATCATACGACCAATAAGAGCACCACAATATAAAGTATGACGGTATGTCGATGCGTTAATAGCTATTTTTAGAATCATTACTTTGTAGAGCGTTCGACATAAGGCTACAAGCTAGTTAAGAAACTAACACTGTTAGCATTATTGCTAGCAGCCACAGAACAAGTGTTTCTGCTCATATTTTAACACTAAACAGAGAAAAAATTAAGTTTTGTTTGATTCTACACATAATTCTGTGTAAATGTAGACATTTGTGTGAGTGTGTGTGCAGACTTTGCAATATATCATTTCACTCAAGCCACTAAGCTAACTGGCCTAGTTAGATTCTTTAGAGTGATATAAAATGACCAAAAGGACCAATAAACGGTTAATCGTAGTTATTGTAAACAGTCCCAGCTGTCTCTTAAGCAGGTGAGAAATGAACTGGTGAGTGTGTTGTGGGCAAACATACCTTTAAAATGTGGATATTTCTTTACTAAGCCCTGTAGTGAAATGAGCGGCTGGTGATTATATGACAAAAAAGAATCACACAAAGTTGCGAAGTTATAGTTTTCTAAAAACATGAAATCATGTTGTTGCAGTGCAGTGCACCCTGTGTTGTCCACTCAAAAATAAGTTCTTTGCTGCTGTGATGTAACGCTGATTTATTCTAAAGGCAATTCTGATAGGACAGTGGTCATTAGGTATGTCTGGAAAGTTGGCCTACCTTGAACAAAACCCGAACAAAGTCAGATTATGTACTTGCCTTTCTGACTTCAGTGGTGCAGCAGTCACAGTCTGGCACTAACTTCAGCTTTGTCTACCTTGGATGGTTGATCAGCCAAGCTGCGATTGGAAAGAGCAAGCTTTACCTGGAACGAGCAAAGTCGTCCTCTGCATTTATCTCCTGTTTGAGAACACTTTGTTTTCGCAGTTGAGTGCAGTGTGCCAGCATTACACGAGGATCAAAAACCTGTGCTTATACCTCAGATATGCTAACTCGTTTGGGAAGATATCACCCAAATGTCTCAATTACCAAAGAGAATAGAGGATGCGAGTTACAGAAGCTGCTTCTCCACACAGGATTCAAGCAGCTGCCAATTTCTGACTCCAAAAAAAAAGAGCACAGCCTGCCTGGTGTGAAGGAAAAGGGAGGGGTTGGGAACCAGAAGGCAATGGGCCTTTATAATTTGCATAATTGTGCATATTCATAAATCTTCTCATTCTTAATGTGTTTTGAGGTTTGGGGACGCTCCTAGGAGTTTCCTGCACAGAGCAACAATACATAAAACTATTAAACAACAGATTTTTTTACAGTTTAAATTGTAACTTTAGGCGTACTTTGAATAAAAATTAATATTTACATGATATAATTTTATATAGTCAACTTCAATCTAAGTAATGAGCCGAGAGGTGTTGTATCATTCATAACCAATGATAAAACGCAGTTCCTTTTGTTCAGAGCAATACGTTTCCCTATGTTGCTAGTCCAGTCTTGCATTCATAATTTGGATTTCTTGTACTCTTTTTGCACAAGGACTGAACGGCCTAGTGTTAAAGACAAATAGGCTGAGCAGGGAGTCACTGGGCCTATAAATAAAGGCTCATAAGGAATACCCTCAGACTGAATTAAATTGCTATTGCGCTCCTGAACAGAGCTTGTATTGAAGTCTCTAAAAACGTTAGTATCGATCGGAGGTGATTGCCTATCACGTTGAGTGCTCTATTCGGGATTGACTGGGCTGGGACCTAATCAGACCCACTGTGCCCTGCTGAGAAGAGGAGCACACACACACACATACACAAGACTTTACTAGCAGGGCTCATATCGATTCAGAGATAACAAACCTCCAAAACTACATGCGCACACAAACGCAAAGCACTTAACTCATAATTCAACCCCAAAAAAAAATCAAACAGTGTTTATTCCCTCGCATGCCTCAGCCTCTTGCTTGACCACAGCATAATAAGGCACGGAGGCTGCTCTCATTAGCGGGAGAGAGAGAGAGGAGAGAGAGAGAGAGAAACAGGGGATGAAACGGCCAGAAGAATCGGCAATTACGCTCGGCTGGCCAGGTGCCAAGCAAATAAGGCGCTAAGCAGGGTTTACACACGCGTCGATACGTCTTCATGAATTACGCATTCCTGCTCTCAGCTCTGGCCAAATTGAAAGGTGGTGAAGAAGGGGTGGGGGCGGTTGGGCTGGGGGGACGTGTCAAAGGGTTTTTTGTCCAGTGAAGACTATCTACAGGGTGTAAGTGCGTATGTGTGCGTGTGTAGTTTTGCGACAGTGTGCCTTCCTCTCAGAAGATGAAAGAGACCACTTAAGGGACAGAAAGGAGAGAAGGAGAGGTGAGGAGGGATGTAGACAGAGGGGAGAGCTGAAAGCTATTCAGTAGGGAATGGTAGACTGGCAAAAGGACCAAGACAGTGGAAAATACATCTTCCTTTTCCGGCACTGATACTCATAACAGATACTCAGTGTTTGGGGTAACGTTGGTACAAACTGGCCGATTAGTACTGGAGAAAGTGTCTCTGTAACGTCCCCAAATTATGTTCACTTCAGTGTTTAGAAGTAAACGGATCCAAACAAACTAGCAACAAAGTTAATACCAGATAAAATAGCATTAGGCTAATAAACTAGACTCAATTACCTTAACAAATATCGTCCATCGGGACAGAAGTTGCTCTGCCTTGTCAGAGATGCCTTCAGATATTTCATTTTCCTTCCCATTCTTATTATCCCATTACCAAAAATGTAGATTATAGTAGTCTAGTGTTAAACTTTACCAAGTCAAGCCCCGTTTTAGCAGATAGTCGTATCTCTTGGTCGGTGTGTTTATCGAAAAGTGGAATCTGTTTTTACATTACTGTGATGCTGATTCAGACAGCCTACTATTACTGAAGGAACTACTGTTACTGAAGGAGTCTGGCAAATTGCAGCAGGTTATTTTCCAATCAATGAGTTTATATGTTGTATATACAGTCAGTAGTTCCACGCTTTCACTCATGTTTGTACGGCTTGTGTATTTTTGTTACAGTGGAGGCTCTTGATGAGAACTGGAGTTTTACACTTTGCTGTTGCTTTTGTTAGTTTGCTGCTCATTGATTTATCTGTAGCTCTCCCACGAGCACTGTCCTGCACAGTCTGCTGACAGTGCTGAAAGTATCGCCTTAAAAGCCAATTCAAGCTATATCGGAACGAGAAGGTCACAGTGACAGATTCTACCGTAGCAACACACAGCCTGCAACAGCTGGGCTTAAGCCTGCACTGCTATGAATCAAACTAAGAAACCCCTTTTCTCAGTTGCCATAAAATGCCATTTCTGCATGTTTTGGAGGAGGTATGTCAATTGAACAATGCATTTTCTTCTTTCTTAAACTTTGATGGAATATATTTTGGTGGAAATGTGTGAACTAGTACAAATTTCACACTATTTAAAATGAAAGGAATTGTAATTCTACTATAATACTTCGCTAGCTTCATGTCAAATATGCAATATTTCAGGGTAGATTTATTATAGAATCAGATTGGACTCTTTCTTTTTCATCCTCTGATAACCAGTCCAGCGATTTCTGCTGTTATCAGGCCGATACTGATACAGGGTATTGGATCAGTGCCATCTCTTTAAAGAGGTTAAAAAGCCTGAATGAGGGGATAGAAACAGAAATAGAGAGAAAGGGAGAATAATGGCGCTGACAGAACAGTCTTTGAAGACTGAAAGACAGGGCTTGGTGTAGCAGCTCCAGCTCTTAACTCCCATACTCACATACCCAGTGCCTCTTTCATCCAGAGCGCTATTTAGCATCCTTCTCCATCATTCCATTGTTCCTTCCCCCTTCTGTTCCCCTCTTTCACTGCCTGACAGCCATTCCCGCTCGCTCTTTTCCAGCTTTCGCCCAAGTCTACACTGTAAGACTGTAATGGCATTTCCATACTGGAGATACATATGGCTCATGCATAATTTACAGCATCATCATTGTTGGGAGAAAACTGTATAAATCATTAAATACTTAGGTTTGT